TCCCCCCCCCCCCCCCCCCCCCCCCCCCCCCCCCCCCCCCCCCCCTCCAAATTCGGTAGATTTGTTCCAAGTCTGGTGGAAGCTCAATAACATCATCCAATCCTCTCTAGTCCTTTGCATTTCATACTCTTCAAATCGTGAAGCTGTAGTAACAATTGAATCTTAAGTGCCTATTACCTTAAAATTCTGAATTACAATGTACTCGTGTAAAGTTTTAACTACAATTTATTCATCTCCTTACAAGACCAAAATGAGTCGGTTAAGTTTAAGAATAGTGCACGTGTTAAAATTATCGTTAAATAGAGATACGTCCATCCTTAATAAAAGAAAATAAACTAAAATTTCTCAAACTAGGATCCTGTTTCCTTTGAAACAAGCTTGCAAATCAAGTCGAGTAGCTAGATCAATTCGTCTAGTGTTTAAGTGAGGTATACTAGAAAGAGAAAAGTAGATAAAAAAATTACATGACCTACTTTAACCGCCAAGGATCTAAGTATTTTGAACTTTCCATCAATGTAGCGAGAGTAGACCTGATCAAATACATTCAACCAATTTACAACAATACTAGGACTAAACAAACCCAGACTAGAATACTATTCTATGAATCTTGACATGTTTTTATTTTAATTACATAAACCCCTGATTTGGAGTTCTTGGGAGCAAATATTTATCAGTTTGAAGCCATTGCAGCTTGTTGCCTAGGAGACGACTTGAGACAAACAAGGATATCCATGATGCAACGTCGTCCCGAGAATATATTGATTAATTATCGATAAATTCCAGGGATGAGATTATCAGATTGCTGCCGGCCTGCCATCTTTCCTAGGATCACTAACAGCGGTTAGTACTCCATGAAATATCTTGTTTTTAATCATTTTTCTTCCTAAATCCATCGAATTTGTAAGGTTATGAACAATAAGCTGGCAGATTGCTCCACCGGCTTTACCCTGCAGTTGATGACCTCTCTCTATCAAGAATTGCTTATTTTCCTCAGAAAGTTCAATGTGTTCTCCATCAATGACTGTCCAGTTTTCATATGAGACAACATTTGGAATAAGCTGCACAAAGCTAGAATAATGTCAGGACTATATGGTTTGTAAATGGTTGTGAACATAATTCACTGTATCAAAATCTGAGGGACCTTGTGGTAGACTCGCGCGCTCCTTACAGCTGCTAAAGGTTTCATTCCCAAGATAAAATGGTTAATGAAAACTTGAACCACTGCCGGAATAATGTTCAAGCCACCACTGCCTCCAATCACCCCGGCCAACTGGTTATCCTGCGAAATTTTACACAAGATAGTATGCAGTTCAGAGAAGTGAAGACACAAATATATGAACTTACTATCGAAAGATCTATAAGCACTAGTAATTATGTATAAAACCATACCTTGAGGACGATGATGGGGTTCATGGACGATAAAGGTCGCTTGTTTGGTCTAATAAAGTTGGTTGGAGCAGGTGGGAGTTTGTCAGGAGATATTTCAGTTGGCGTCGAGAAATCATCCATTTCATTATTGAGCACAATGCCGGTGGAAGGGGAGAGAACGCCACCTCCAAAAGGATAGTTCACTGTGGTTGTCATTGATACAGCATTACGGTCGGAATCTACAACGCCAAAGTGACTCGTCCCATGATCCCTAAGCTGATTCCACCTGGACAGACCAAATTCTTTAGCGTCGTCGTTAATTCTTGAAGACTAAATTCAAATAAATAACCATTTTCTCTCTCTAAAGTCTTGCCATCGCCCATTTATAAAACATATCCACATATCATGCCTTTGATAATTATGCACGTGAGGGTATGTGAAAAGACCAAATTCAAATAAATAAAAGCGTCATCTCTCTAACAACTTATACTTTTAGATGAGGTGGTTCAAAAGTAGTATAAAGTTGAGAAACAATCAGACTTAGGAGGTCTACCTGTACATATAATATTCGGGAGGGAAAGTGGTGTTGTCAAATATCTTTTCTCGAATGCTCTTAGCGAAATCTGGGGAAAGCATGTCGGATACCGCTCCATCAATATTTTCAAAATGGGGGTCTCCCAGGTACATTCGGATAGCAAACATGTGTTTCAGTGCTTCAATCAGACGATGAAGACCTAAAGGACCTTTCACAGCATCAGGACTTCTGTAACTTTCCAGGATGTTCAAAATCTGCATTTTCATCGACAATGAATGATCAGTTAACAAGATGCTGCGTTGTCAAGGAATTATAATACCAATGCTTCATTCTATATGATAAGATATTATCAACTTGACTTCTAACGGTCCAATCTCTAAATAATTTCCCATAGAATTTTTTTTCAAGAAAAAAGAACTTGACTAAAGAGAGAGCGAGGGGAGGATCAATTACTATATCAGAATTTAGCAGTAGGTCAAGTCATTTAAAGTCTAGAACACGCACCAGAGAAAGCCCAACTGTTCCACTTGAAGGAGGCGGCATTCCTAATATTCGGTATCCCATAACATTTACTGCAACTGCATCTGTAACATCCACTCTGTAATTTCTTAAATCCTCCACTGTCAAAATTCCACCTGCTTTTCTCACATCTTCAACCAGTTTTTCACCCACTTTCCCATTATAGAACGCTTTAGGGCCTTGTTCAGCGACTGCCTCTAAGCTGTTCCCAAGTTCTACATTGTAGCATATATCGCCAGCTTTTAACAACTTACCCTTTGGTGCATAGACTTGTCGTAAGCCCAGATCAGTCATGATCAGATCTGCATTTTTAGCAATTGATGATCCTAAATACGGTGCAACCTCGAATCCTTGTTTAGCAAGTTTAATCGCAGGTTTGACTAAAGTTTTCCAAGGCAACC